CGAAGATCTTTCCAAAGGGCACCTGGATTCCGTTGTTATTTCATTGCACGACAAGTTCGATTGATCTTCAGGTCTCGTATCTTTCGTCTCCTATGACATCGCCTTGATCCTCTCCGTTTTCTCATGTAGACGTCGGTAAATGCTTCAGTCAACAGCGTTTTCGCATTAAGGCTGGTCACGACGTCCCTGATGACGTTAAGCATCGGTTTATCAATCTCGTCCTGTGGTTCACAGGTGTTCTTTAGGCCGACGCGTCAGCCCGACCTATTTTCCAGTTTCTTTCTTTGAGGACTTTTTGCGAGTAACTGTTTAGCAATTCATTCGAGGTGAATCCTCATGAACTATTTCCAACGTCTCCCCAACGTTTATTCAGCAGAACGGATTCAGGGAGCTCTTGAGCACGTTGTAAAATCTTGGCGCGTGGCGGGTAGTACAGCAGCCTCAACCTTCCGGAACGGGTTCATGCACCATTTCCAGCCCCCCCAAGTAACACGAACGAAATATTTCTGATTGGACAGCGTTTCCAATACGAAGCGTTATGTTTTTTTCTAATATGTAGCACTAATGTAATTTAATATTATACTTTAAACAAAAGGCGCCATTTCGGGTTCCGCAAACTCGCTAACTTTAATTGTATTTTTGGCTAATGCTTTATGCCGTTTTTGCTATTGAATAGTCAGGATGTGAAGATGAACCCAACTTTCTTGAAAGGAATATTTGCAAAATTTGGCGTGACCATTTTCCCTGAATGGAAGGTAAAGTTAAAATATTTTTAATTGCAGTTTGAAACATTAAATCACACCTCTGCAGAGAGGGATGAATGGTCAAACGCATTTTTCACGTGAGTAAGTTGCGTATTAACCTATCGAATTTTGGTCATGGGTGTTTCGAGCTCCTTAAAATAATCATAAAAGAAATATTTATTTGCAACTCCAGATATTGTTTCCATCTCGTCGAGTCATTTCATGGATCATAGACCACTTTTAACAATGTTAATAGCCTCGGAGAACGGGACTTTGATAAGCTGAAGTCGTATTTTGGCATTTTGTCTCTCTTATATTTCTCTCCATAGACCAATTTTAATTTTATAATTTTATGTCGCTCATAATAAACTGAAAAATATTCACTTGCTATTCATTCATTTTTAAAGCCAATCATTCCCTTCAGGCTGCGGACAACTGCTGCAGAAGGGCTATTCAGTAGTCTCGTTCTATCATCAAACGGACAAACTCAACGGTCTGGATTCGAAACTGCTACAATGTTATGTCTTCCATGGAACAAGGGTGGACGCAGTGTGCCATTGATTATTTTTCTGCGGTCTTATCAAGAGTTTATCAGTCTCTGCCTCAGGCATCATTAATATATGTCCATACGATCACAACAGTGATCGATCAGCCTGGAGAAATAGTGACTCACAATCGAGAGCATCGCGA